ATTCAACTTTCTGATCATTTTGGAGAGTGTAGTTTGTGGTGTTTTTTAGTTTTATTGCATTATATTTAAAAAAAAAAGAGATTATTTTAGTGGTTCTCAGCTTCTTTGGCTGGTGAACCCTTATGTATAAATCTGTGTCTAGTTTCAGAGTTTGAAAGCTATATCCCACACAGACGTCTCACATGGTTGCATCTAAATAACTATTCAAATTGTGCAGTAATTGACAGACAACCAAAGACTGGAGAAAAGTCTGAAAAATGAACCCAAATGTTTGTATCAGAACTTCTTGTTTCCTCTCAGATTTATCTTTTCTCCCCCTACATTGGGAACCACTGATTTAGCCTTCGTTGACTGAAATAAATGAGATAAACAAAGTACTGGAAACTCTGTGTATGTAATTCAAAAGCAGCACAAAATGAACATATAGTTGAATCAACACCTCTTAAAAGATATTAATAATAATAATGAATATAACATTATTACCTGTATTAAGTTAGGCTTTATGGCAGGTTGTATGAGACTGTTAGTTTCAGGTGTACCTATAATGAAGTGGCAGCTGTGTGGTGTGTTATGGCAACAGTATTTGAACAGCCTGTTCATAGTGCAGGTTTCCCCGTGAGGAGCTCAGCCCTCGGACCAGTTGTTTCCCGCCCATTGCCTAAACCTCAGCCCCACCCCTCGCTCTTTTACTTGGTTTCATAACACCACTCTGTCTGTGTGTGGAGCTTACCCAAGAAGCCACAGTTGGAGTAGCTGTCCTGGTGAGGTGTCCGCTCTATACAGGCGGGAGAAGGATCGTCGTCTCTCTCTCTCTCTCTCTTCTCTCTCTCTCTCTCTCTCTCTCTCCCGTCTCTGCCGTTCCCGTCAGTCGCTGCCTGTGTGCCGAGCAGAAGAGAAGAAAAGTCATTCATCACAGCTTCAGTGGCGTCCGTAGTCCCCTCCCCGCCGCCAGAGCCAACATGCAGGAAGAGGTCGGCCAGCTCTCGTCCACTGTTAGAACCACAGTAGCATTGTTGTGTTGCTGGGCCAAAGGAATGTCCAGCAGCTCTCATTAGGGCCCGTCTGCGCTGCTGTGCTTTCTGACACGGCTGTACAGCGTAGCAGTCACTGTTGTTCTGTTTCTCTTGGAGAGCAGCCCGGTGAATGGCGCTAGAATTGATTTGGGAAGAGGCAGGGAATTTACCAGCGCTGTCTTGTATTTAATGTGTAGATGCGGTTCTGAATCTGTTTTTTAAAATCCAACTGCGCAGTGGCAGAACTTGAGCTCATTAGCACAACTAATTTGTCTGCAAGAGACAGGCTGAGCAAGCCAGTGCATGCGTTTTATTTGTGTGTGTGTTTGTGTGTGTTTGTGTTTGTTATCCCGCTCTACTATGTCAGCTTTGGCTAAAGAGTCCTATCCCTTGCATCCTGACTCTTGCAGTCTAAACAAAGAAGAATGACCATGGATTTTTCCCAACTGCACACATACACGCCACCACAGTGTGCTCCAGAGAACACCGGCTATACCTACTCCCTCAGGTGAGACTCAGCACCGTGCTGCGGTACACGGACTGCAGCATGAAACAGTCACACCTATGGCATTTCACTTACACCCTGCCTGTCATTTGTGACTCCCTACAGCTCAGAGAGTGAACTCCCAATGAAGTAAAGTTGTCCTTGAGACCCTGCTGTTGCATTTTAATCAGTTTGAAGGCTGTGAAAGTGCAGAGCCAAGCAGCTACTCCATATTCCCTTTCCTCTTGTTTTTAACAGTAGTAGTATGCTGTTGTTGTTGTTATTGAGCACTGTCAACCTTGATGCTATTATAATAACGGTTGTCCAATGTAATGAGAGGTTTCTAGGCTGCCAAACGATCCCTAGGGTTGTTTTACATTCACTTTGCATGCTGGTTTTCTGTGACCTGTATAAAGACAAACCTTGACGAGCAAAGAGCCGACGGGCTGCAGCTGACTTCGATAGCTGAGTTGAAATATCTTTACTTTTGAATATACTGTTTTTAAACTTTGAGAGGTTTTATAAGTCAGTCAGAAAAAGCCTGTGGTTTTGATGACTCAGCCTCGTGACTCAGTTGGTGTGTGTGTTTGATGCGAATCGGGGCGGCATACACAGGGTGAAAACAGAGCCTGTTCCCTAGATTACTACATTTGACCATATTGTAGAATAAATGCTCCAACTACACTTTTTTCCAGCGTTTGAGCCAGCATAGTCAGTTTTGGATATAGATAGTAAATCCCATTCCTGGAACAGCAGCCTGTCACAGCATGCTGCTCATCCATGCATTGTTTCTTGAGCTTCCATCACAGATCGTACTATAGGTGTGGTCGACACTTCAGCAGGAAGGTCTACGCATGTAGAGGAATGTTGCTGTTTTCTTCACGATCGCCTTTTAATGTCGGCAGCTGTCAGAACAGAGAGGCGTTTGGGTGTGTAGGTCAGGAAATGAATTATCACTTTGCCCCGTGCTTAACTCTCTTTCTGACTCTAGGGAGAGGAGGAGTTCTTGCACGAGCAGAGGCCTACCGTCGTGTCTTGTAAAGAAGGCGAGTTTGAACAAAGACCTCTCTAGGTTTACAGTCACATTGTGAAAGTCTCTTTAAGTTCTTCTGTTTCACAGTATGTGACATTTGTATTTAATCTGTCAGCAGTTATAGTTTATAGGTTGTGTGTAGGGCATTGATGCACGTGTCGTGATGTTGTGTCCTGACATTAATGGCGAACAAACCCTTAACACCTGCGTGATTTCAGTTGAGCTTTTCTTCTGAAATGAAGCCTTGGGAACCAGTCTAATGAGTCACTGTGACTGAGGCAAAGTAAGAGAAATGTACAAAAGCCCGTTTGACACCCTCCTGCAATCTGCCAGGTAGCCTGAAAGTCTGGAACAAGCTGATCGTGTTCCTGTGAATGCGGTCAGCTGAGAAGCTATTAATGAAGCTCGCAGACACAACTGTGGCCCTGATCCCAGGATTACACTAAGAGTTTCTGCTTCTTGACCAGTTAGTTGAGAGATCTGCGGTTCCTATCAGCCTGTGTGTACTGCAGCTATTTTTGATCATTTTAAATATCGGCCGATTGAAGGCGGTCACATCTCTTTATCTCCGTGTACTCTAAGTAAACAGCAGAACAATCAGAGAGTAAATATTGTATTTGCTACCAGCTCAAAGTTCACAACTTCTATCAGCCCTTCAGTCTGACAGCTGATGGTGTTTAGTCTTTAGAGGGTCTCTGTGTGGCCCACAGTGCAGAGACAGATGGGGTCAGGTGACACAAACCGTTGGCCCATCTGTTGTCAAAACTCAAAAGAGCAGCGACAAGTTCTGTGGCATTGAATGGTCCAAGACAAAGAGGGAGAGGAGGCCCACCAATCACCAGCCTTCTCTCACACATACCAGTGAGACACCACTGAAACCTGGACCAACAACCCTGTGTCAGTTTAATGAATACTGTAAATACTGTGAGGGGAAATGCTTTTATTCATAGATTTATACCCCAACAAGGTTCAATGAGTCCTTTAGGACTCACTCTGTGCTCTCTCACTTCCTCCCAGCTGCTCTCTCTCTTCTCTTTACTGGAATGATTCAGTTCAGTGAGGCTTCATCCAGCTTTCTCATTGCCTGTTTTGTAGAAGATACAAGGCTCTTGTTGTTTGATCAATGTCTGGTTCATATTGAAAGTGTAAAAATGTATCGGTGCGTGCCCTGAGTGATTTGAAAAAAAGATTCAGTGTCTTAAACTTTCAATTCACGGGTCTTAAATAATGCAGATACATTTACTCTGCCTTTTAATTTGAGAAGCTCTGTGTCTGTAATAATAGCTTTTATAATGGAACTGTTGTCTCTTAAAATATTGTTTATAGGTGATATTATTATATTTGTTTAGTCGTCCATATTCAGGGTTTTTCTCTCAGAAATAATTTAAATCTTTTTTGAGGGGAAAATAAAATACTTTCTGTTCTTAGTGAACTATTTAGACAAAACTAGATTCTATTAACAGAAAGAAAGGGTGGACAGATGTGCTGGAATAGAAGAAAATACTATAATTGGAATTTATGAATATAGTTTTGTATGTATGTAAACCA